TGAGATGTTTCATCCAATATGTGTGTTCTTTCATATCTCACGTGTTGGAGCACAGCAACCTGTGAGAGTTGATGTTGGGTACCAGTGATCAGAGTCACATGAAGAGACCAATCTGTCACAGTCCAACAGAGAGAAACCTGTCACTGTGCTTCTACAAAATGACTGGGAGCAGCTCTGGTACAAATGGGAAAAGTGGATATATTCACATCCAAAGCACTAGCATTAACTGAGACCAGATCTACCAGTGTAGAGAGCGTTTGTCATTTGGTTCTCGTTCATTACTCAATGGCAACATTGCAAAGAGGAGAGTGATCATTGTCCATTAGAGCAGATTGACAGAACAATCTGCATTGAGTAGCAACAAGTTTGTAGAGGTTACCTTCAGAGTTACAAGTTCAGTCTGAAATATAAGCTGGGAAGATAGATGGTGTTGGCAGATGCCCCCTTTCAGTTGACACTACAAGAAGATGTGATACAAGGGCAAAGAATAAAGATGCATCACCTTGTGACTGTAACACCAGCAAAACAGAGTTGTAAAGGCTCTGTCAGCAACTGATGTAGAGGTGAATAAGAAGAAATGAAGAAATGGAAGCTCTGAGCCAGATCAGCTGCGTACAGGATAGGCCTGACAGAGACTCGGTGTGATGTTTACATGCGATGTATGCCAGAAATACAGAAATAAACATCAGAAAGAGGTGATAATGACTGAAGTATTACCAAGACCATGAAACAGATTTGTTCTTTCTGTAACCAGAATGATATGTCGTGTTTGCTGATGAACTGCTCAAAGTTCCCTTCTATCTAAAGGGTGAATAATTTAAGAGCCACAGTGATGATTTCCACAGTGCAAGATCTGTTCACTGAGCAGGAACAATATGCGACAGTGGAACACATTTGGTCTCCAGAGAATTCAAGAAATTCATGGAACAGTGGTTCATTGCCAATTACAGATGGAGGTGTGGGTTTATTGAAAGACACGTCAGTCTCTTGTGAAATATTGAGACGCCTTGCTTTACTGTCACTCAGATCTGCAGCCTTTGAGGCTGACATAATGTGCCTGCAATGCTACTGAACAGAGGAAAGTGTGAGGCAACTCTATCAATCAAATACACCCTCAAAGTGACCAGGAGGAACTAAGTAACTCACTGATGCTCAGGTAGGAGGATAACACTGGAACGAACAAACTTCACTCTCGTCTGAATTATTGAAAGGGTAAATGTGAATTGACACTTGGAGCTCAGTTGATGAAGCTAAGTCTGTAAGGTCAGACGTCATTGAATTTAAAACCGATCAGCAAATGAGAAGCAACAGAGTCTATACTTGACCTGCCGCTGAGCTGGAAAAGCAGCAACATCACTAAACAGCGAGCCAATGTCAGCATTCACAAGTGATGCAGCATTCAACATCAACTACCACACCATGAGTGACGCACATATGGCTGTGAAGTGAACCATCTCATCACTGAGAGCAGTTATAGATTTGCCAATAAGTTGGAGGCACAACACGCTATGAATTTGGAACAGACCTAGAATTATGGAAATCCCTAGCTGTGGAGTATTTTGCAAACACTGGGCCCAAAAGTCACTTGAACCTCCTAATCGTGCTACACTCCCTGTACTATACTCTCAAACCCCCCCAAAATGTTGCTTTTTGTAATAATTCTACTAATGCTCAAGTAGATCAGTGCTATCTGTTTCCATTGTCTCCCAAAAGACCCTGTTCCATTGATTATTCTCTATAGTGTTTCCACAGATTAGATTTAAATGTCCTTTCCTTCAGGTGCATATCATGTTCTGTGGTTTTACTGTTTCGGACAAAGCTGAAACAGTTTGTAATGCTCTGCATAATCTTGATCCTTTACAATCAGTAACGATTTCACTGGTCAACCCTTTCTCTTCTTCCAGTGAGAATGTGCACAATTTACGTAATTGCTGGATATAACCCAATTCCTCTGTCTCTTCAAGCATTCTAGTTTCAAACATCCAGAAGCTGGAACAAGAGGCACTTTACACTATATATGTTCATAGCCTTGGACTCAACAACTTCCTGTAATCCTGGTGCATTAGCGATAATGATATTTTGCAAGTTAAATCCTTCAGGTTTGATATTTCAGCCATAGTGAAGGCCCTGAGTTGTTATAGTGGTTCATTGGCAGCCGTATGCCCTGTCCTGTAGGCATTAAAAAACCTTGGCACCATTTGCAAAACAGTGCGGGAATTGTTCCCAGTGTCCAGGACAATATTAATCCCTCATCCCATATCATTTAACAGATTACCCTGATCTCTTTGCTTTTCCAGGGCTCTTGCTCTGTTTCCAACATGACAACAGTCCTCCAAAGTTCTGGTGAAGAGTCATCGGACTTGAAATGTTAACTGTACTTTCTTACCACCAATTCTGCCAGGTGTACTGAGTTTCTCCAGTAATATGTTTTTGTTTCAGATCCCCAGCATCCCTAGTTCTTTATTTTATTCCAAAGTACTTTATTGGCTGTGAAGCACTTTGGGTCTTCCTGGGGTCATGAAAGGCCATATATAAATGCAGGTCTTTGTTTTCTTTCTGCAGGCTTGGCAGACGGCGCTGGGCACTCTCAACCCCAACCCGACAGACAACTGCCCCCTGTACCTGACGTATGCCACAGTGGCTGCCTTACCCTCTCGAGTCAGTCGGCACAACAGCCCATCAGCAGCACCATTTCTCACTCGTCTGGTGCGAAGCAGCCTGCCTGGAGGAGTGAATCGCTGCATTTTGGTAACTACTGGTGCCTGAACACACTACACGGGGATGGGTGAATGGGGGGTGTTTGAATAGAAATGTTCGCCAAGATTTCCTGAAATATTTATTCTTTTGTCTAAATGTCTCATGTTTGGATTGTGTGCAACACCGTTTAAAGTTATTCTTAAAGGAATATACCCATTTCCTGCAGTTGTTTTCTGTCCTAATAATATGGCCTGCTGTTTTGAGGTCGCTGCTGTCAGGAGTCAAAGCAGGATAATTGTAATTGATTGATCTGATGAGATCACATACAGGAATTTGTAAATTGCAAGAGACTTTAATCAGTGTGAGTGACTAAATTTTCTTTTGAAGCAAGTAATTATTTTTCATCAGTGACAGTGTGATGTCTAGAATGTGCTAAGTGCATGGTTAGCACTAGAATTTAGATACTTGCGAAAATGAATTTTCTGAGCCTTTGTTCTTTGTGTGCATTTCCTTCTGATTCTGTATGCCTTCTCTGTACTATTAGTTTGTTGTTACTCTTATGGGTTTCTTGTCCCACCACGAGCCTTGATCAATCCTGTGGATATCTGTGCATCCACCTGATTTTTTTACCATCTAGTTTGGTCGTTGGTCTTGCAATTACTCATGTTTGTGTCCTAACCTGTGCTTCATGTTTCTTCAGTGATTTCTCTCTATGCCCTGATCTCTCTTTCTCTCTTCCCCACCATCTCTCTCTTGCTCCACTTAATTGGCCTATTTACTCTCATAAGAACATAAGACTTAGGAGCAGAAATACACCTTCCAGCTCATCGAGTCTGCTTTGTCGTTCAGTGAGATCGTGGCTGATCTGATAATCCTGTTTCCTGCCTTTCCCCTAATACCTTTGATTGCCTTACTGATTAAAAATCCATCTATCTCAGCCTCTAGTATACTTAACGACCCAGCCTGAACAGCCTCCTGTGGTAAAGAATTCCACAGATTTACTACTCTCTGAAGAAATGCCTCCTTACCTGGGTCTTAAATATGCGACCCCTATTCTGAGATTATGTCCTAGACTCGCCCAGAAGGAGAAACACTTTCTCATCTACACTGTCCAGTGCTTTAAGAATCCCCAATATTTTTCCTTCGTGCTCCTTCACTATCCTTTTTTGAGATTCGTTCTCTGTATCTTAGTTTCTCTCCCACTCACAGTTTTGCTCGTCATTTGTCCTTTCATTGTCAACCTCATTCGTTGTGTGCACTTGCTGTCTCTGGGGCAGTTTCACTTGTTCTCTTGGTCCCTTGTTTATGTACTCTTACCGACTTATTTGCTGTCTCTGGAGCTTCTGTCATTCTAATCCAACTCTCCAGTACTTTGCCTAGTATGAGCTGTGGCAGAGGCAGCATCATATCTACACCTGGTCTTGTTCTCACTTGCTGCTTCCTGTTCAGTTTAATTTAGTCAAACTCATCCAATGTATATTTGGGATTTGCACTAAACTTCAACACCCTGGGGCTAGGGAGTATAGAGTTAGTTCTCTTGGTCATGATTAAAACATTGAATTTGTATGTGATGTGTGACAAGTTCATTGTACAAGATCACATATGATGAATGGATGCAAAGTAAGGTAACAAAAGGCTGTCGGTGTTTTTCGACCAATATTCCAACAATGGTCAGTGGCTTTGAGACCTGAGAGTAGGTTGAGAACTTAAAAAGAGAAGGACTTGGTTTCAAGATTTGTTCTAAACTAATTAAAGAGCTTTGATAAATTACTTCAGCCATCCTGGAAAGATTGAAAGTTACCTTCATTCCTGGTTTATTAGTGGAAACAAATAACTGAGGGTTTACTTCCTGCTGAAGGCTGTCTGGTAGTCCTTTGATGCAAAGGCTGCAACTTCAATCCCTAAGGACAGGGGAAGGAAGGATTACATTGAAAGTTCTTTATCTCTGGGCCACTCAGCTGGAAACTTTTATCAATGGATTTATTCCCAGGATTTTCCCACAATCTACCCCGGAGAAAAGTAGGAAGACAGAGGACATTGGATAATGTTTATTCTGTAGCTTGAGATTGGAATAGCTGGAGCAGAATCTATTTGCTTGCACAAGATGGTTTTGAATTAAATGTAATGTGGAGAGAGAGTGGAACATTCAGGAAACAAGCAAGGTGGTAAATTGAAGTGACAAGACTCAGCGTTGACATGTTTTCCTGTTCTCTTTTAGATGGTATGCGCGCGCTCTGACGTTTTTGCTTCCGGTTGTGCGATTGCAAGGGCGTTTCCCCTCTTTTCCCGCCGATCCAGCGCCTCGAGACGCACAGACAAACGTGTGGTCACAGTGGAATTCCTACTGGTCGGACAGAACAATGGTCCAATTGAAGAAACAACGCTCGAGGTAATTGATCAGAAAATCTAGACAAAAACCAAAAGATGCTGTCAGTTCTGAAGAAGGGTCACTTGACCTGAATTTTAACTCTGAATTCCTCTCCACAGATGCTAGCTCCGGCTAAACTTGGTGCTGTGATTGTGAAGGTTTTCAGATGGTATTTACAATGTGCTGATGAATTACATAGAAATCAAAGCAACAGAATAATAGAAAAGGCAAAAATACTGCAGATGTTAGAAGTTTGAAATAAAAACAGAAAAGACTGTAAACATACAGCAGACCTGCAGCATCTGTGGTGAGGGAAGCAGAGAAACCAAAGCAATATGTTTAACCCGACTCGACTACACCACCATATCCCTTTATTCCCTTTGCATTCAGCCACCAAACCTTTTCTTAAATGATGATGAGTTAATTGCTTCAGCCACTAATGTTGTGTTGCCATGACTCAGTGATAGTATCTCCACTTGTATGAATTTCAACCCATACTTCAATTTACCATATGATCTAGAAGCTGCTGCTTATCATTCTGTGCTGTGAAATTTTATTGGCTTTGGTTTCCTTCTCACTTCAGTTTTAAGAAATACTGGAATAACAATTGACAGTGGCCTGGTTTCATTTGATGTTACCAGTGAATATGCCCCGTTTTTGTAAGGCTAGGAGTAAAGCAGAAGTGCCTCATGCTCCATTACTGTTTTTAGTGAATTAGCGTTTTCAATTAGCTAGAATTTACATCATTTGAAGCAGACCATTCAAGTAACTAGCTTGTTTTGGTATTTATCCTGACATGAGCAGTTGTTGTGATCCTGTGCACCTAGCAGTAATGGTTAAGACAAAACCTTAATATGTTTGTTGACTGTCCCCCAAGTGCAGCCATGATCAATGCATTACATATCGTGTTGGGGTAGAGATATGTTAAAACTCTACTATGCTCAAACAATTGTGGACATTTCCTGAGGCTGAGTGAATGAACAACCTTTTGTTCTCATCTCACCCAAGTCCCCAAGGACTGTAGGCATCTCTGTGTCCTTCAGAGAGATGTAATTCAGCTGTTTGTATCTGAAGTCTACCATTCTGCCAGTATGAGGAATGGTGCTCATGAATTTCCATGGCTGGTACAAGGACTGAACCTGCATGATTAGCATCACTGTATCACATTGTAAACTGAGCTCAACTCGTAAGTGATTAGTAAGTATGCAACACAGTACTTTGGGATTGTCAGGATTTCTGCTTCACTCATGTGCTGTCTTATTTGTAGTGTCTATCAAGTGCTGCTGATGGAATCCGTCTTGCAGCTCGCATTGTGGACACACCCTGCAATGAAATGAACACTGATATTTTTCTCGAGGTGAGTGACCATCATCTAATCCTGATGTACTGTCTCAGTTGGTTTTCTAAGTTGTGATTGGAAAAAGCACTGTCAGTCATTAAGACCCAGTGGCACTTAGGCAATAGGCTGTTAAAGGCTATGGAACCAAGACGGGTACTTGATAAGATACAGATCTAATTTAATAGTTTGGTGGCCTCTTTCTGCAATTAAAAGTCAGACAGCTGAAACTTGATGTAGAATCACTTTCAGTGTGAGTTTTGTAAACACAAATGTTTTACGTAGGGGGTTAATTCCATGCTGCTGCCAGTGGATGATGGAGATGAGGATTATTCAAGGATCATGAGTTTGGTTTATATAAAGTGTTTACCCTTTATTCATTGTTACTTGATATTCCAGCAGTGCATGGTGTAGTCTTTGCTTGATGTTTACAATTGTTGGAATTTTGTGGAAAGCCACTGCTGTGAATTTTCACCTGATGGCACAAGCTCAGCCCATGAATTTCAGTGGTAATGCCTGGGAGAATAGGATGGTGCTGTGGTAAGCACAGCTGGGACATTGTGCATGTGCAAGTAGGAATCTGGGTGATATAGAGTTTAGTCTTCCAGCTATACTCATCCATTGTATTCCAGTCTTGTGTCGCCATCAATCTGTTGACCATGCTTTGTGAGAGTCCCAGAGAGTTTGCTTTGGAAAGGTATTTGACAATGGACAATATCAGAACTCAAATCTGCTTTCACTCGACATCCATATGCACACACAATTCTTCACTTTTGAGAAAATGTCTCCTATCATGACCCACTTGGGAAAGCGCATTAATACTTGAGCCCCACTACTCCCAGGGTCATCGTAAAAAAGTTTAAAGATTTAATCAACTTATTCAAAATCCCCAATTTCCCTGTCTGATAGGCCCAAATTAACAGGAACACTGAGCAGGTGTCTCCTTAATAAGAACTACTATTTATTACAAGCAAAGCAATCCTAAACATAGGCAAACAAAATGTGATTTGTCAACTTATAACTCTGCTAATTTAAACTCTTACCCCTAACTAAAACCCTGCGTACACATACATACAAAGACAAACCTTGAAGTTATGGATGAAGTTAGACAAAAAATTAGGAGAATACAGTCCACAGGATTCAATGAGGTGTCCCTTTTGCTTCTTTCAAGTCCTTCTAGTCTCTGATCACATTGACAACGTCCTTTCAGTTCTTTGCTGAAGATACAAGCAATTGGCACACTGTTCAGTTTCTTAGAGGCAACAGCTTATAGCAAATGGTTCAAGAGAATAGCTAGCTATCTTTCAGTTCTTGGTTACTTCACTGCGAGTGAGTGAGAGAGCGATGCTGTATTTTTGCAGTCTTGTGACATACTGCCACTGTATTATTCACATGTAGGCAGTTCACCTGCACAACAGCCAATCAGACAGTTGTCGTCATGTTGATAATGTCTGACCTGCTTACTGGTCCTGATTGAAAGAACAATCAACAGTCTGTCTCAGTGTAAAACTTGCCTTGAACACACAGCAATGCTGCATTTGGGTCTCAAACATCCTCCCCCACCACTTCAAAAAAGCAACAGCGTTAACACAGCTCACAATTTGTTCCAATTACTTATTTTAAAATTACAATATCTCCTTCCGCAGTCGTGTTTTAAAACTGTTTCTTAGTTACATTTTGGTCCACAATCCAAAGCAAAAAAAACAAAAAGGTGTGTTCTTTCGTGATTAAAGATCAGGTCTAGGAGCTTTGGCTGGTTTTTTTTCTCTATTTAGTTCAGGATGCCAAGGCTGTAATATTGTCCCTGCTGATCAGCCAACCAGGGGTTGAATCATGATGTGCATGACTCGAAACCATGCTAGGTAATGCACTTATTACGTCAACAGCAGAGCCTGTTATTGAAACTTTACTCGCTCTAATGGATATTTTATTTGCAGGAAATAAAGATGGTTGGGAATGCACTAGGGATTGTTCCCACCATTATCCGGGGTGAGGAGCTGAAGGAACAAGGATTCGGAGGTAGTTTTCTATTCTCTTATCCCTGCCTTTGAGTTGTGAATAGCAATACCAGATGTATTTTTTCACAACATGCAGTAGATATTTGGCAGGAGCAGTATAGTCCTGAAGATGGGAATCAAGTTTAATATTCGCTTCTCTTTGATCATTTCTAGGTATATATGGTGTTGGGAAGGCAGCAGTATATCCGCCTGCACTTGCAGTTCTCAGTTACTTACCTGAAGGTGCTACACAGACCATCGCCTGGGTTGGCAAAGGCATTGTATATGATACAGGAGGCCTGAGCATTAAAGGAAAGGTAGGAATTTCAGTGTGGCAGGTTCTGGGAAACGTAGGCACAGAAACATTTACATTCCACTGAGGAAGCATTTTCTAGTTAGCATTTCTACCTAAGTAGACCTAAGAGTCATTGTAATCTTCTTTTTGCTATAAAAGATCTGAAGAGAATTGAGTTTGGGACATTTCTACTGGGCACCACCCTCTATACAGAGTTTCCCACTTCAGTATTATATGACACCCTTAGTCTGGGATGAATGAAGAAGCCAGTATTAGAACCAAAAAATACTTTATCAGTTTCTGAAAATTCAATTGCAATTATTTTCCAAGAATAAGTCTAAAGTAATTTATTTCAAATCTGGGGAGATGGGTTTTACGGGCATTTACCATCTTCCTTACCTCATGTTATCAGACTCTACATCCCAACCCTGATCTGTCAGCCCTTTAATTCCATCTCCACAGTGATGCCAAATTATAGCATCCCCTTCCGGTCCAGGCACTTGACCCTATTTCCAGTACTAGCTGTACATACCAGGACCATTTCCTGGATGTGAGTCTGAAGATGTCTCCTTCGTTCCTTTTTCCCTTTTCCCTTTCCCCTTTCTTTTCTCCTTTTCCCTTTTCCCTTTCCCCTTTCTTTTCTCCTTTTCCCTTTCCCCTTTCCTTTCTCCTTTCCTTTCCCCTTTCCTGCCTCTGACCTTGGAGACACCTGTGTGGGGAGCTTTGCAGGGGAACTCCTAAGTGGCTTTTTCTAAAGTGTAGACTTACTTTCTTTTGTAAATCTACAATAGTGAGTAGAGTGGGGATTTTTGATTATATGTTTTATTGAGATCTGTCTTTTGATTAAATTTTCTTAAAAAGAGTATAACATAAGTGCTAAGTTATCCTACAGCAGTGTTCTTAGAGCAGTTAAGACTTTGCTATTTTCTGGGTCTATAGTTTGTTAAAATACACAGATGGCCTTTAGTAGAGTGATGTGCTCTTCCTGTCGGATGTGGGCGATTAGGGAAAATTTCCATGTTACTGATGATGTCTGTAGGAAGTGTGTTTAGTTGCGAATCCTACTGGATTGCTTGGATCAGTTGGAGCGGCAGTTAGAGGCAATGAGGAATTTACAGATGCTGGGGGTGTAATGGATGGCGGTTTCAGGAAGCGAGAAAAACCACAGATACAGTCAGGTAGATGGGTTACCTCCAGGAAAAGTAGTAAGGGTAGGCAGGTATTGCAGCAGTCTCCTTTGGATATCCCCATCCCAAACAAGTATGCTGTTTGGGAAAATGTAGGGGGTGATGGACTCTCAGGGGAATGTAGCACTGACAAAACAGGGTGGAATCTTTTATCCAAAAATCTTGGGAGCAACTGTTCCTCAGATAAGAGATAATATCAGTTTGCAAATACACTTTAGAACATAGAGCAGTACGCATTGGAACATGCCTTTTGTCCCACCATGTCTGTGCTTAGATTGATGCCATTCTTAACTAATCCCATCTGTCTGCACATAGTCCATATTCCATTATTCCCTGTCTGTCTAAATGCCTCTTAAATGTTGCCAACTGCTTCTACCACATCACATGGCAGCGTGTTCCAGGCACCTAGCACTGTCTGTGTAAAAATATTTCTTTGCACATCTTTAAACCTTTCCTCTCTCACCTTTAAACTATGCCGCTTAGTATTTGACATTTCTGCCCTGGGAAACAGAGTTCGATTATTCACCCAATCTATGCCTCTCATAATTTTATATACTTCTTCATCTTTCAGTGTGGGGAAAAAGTAGCAACTTCAAGTTCAGGTTTTCCAGAGAGAGGGCAAATTTGAAAGGATGGGAGAAGAATTAATTACAACTTAGCTATCCAGTCAAGGTCAAATGAACATTGCAACAAATTGGAAAGTTACTCTGATGGTCCTAGACAAATAACCTACACCAGTACCACAGCTGATCACCATTTTGCGGAAGATGTCTCTCACTCAGTATCAACTAGCCAGCCTGAATTGCTGTGCTGGCAAATCACACCCAGGAACAGCAGATCTGGACCTGATCCAACGCTAACGGCTAGTTTAGCGAATCTCCATCAATCCATTTTTTCAGAAAGGATCTCCTGTTAAGAGGAGCACCATTAGCAGCCACTGCGTAGCAATAGCCTGATTAAGTTCACTTAATACTTGGTTAGTTTTCTTGTTATCTACGTTGGCTGTTGCTTTGTCCTTCTCTTTCATATTTATTTCTCGTCAATCAGCATGTAGAAAGGATTCTGAAGCTCACGTGTAGACTTTACATTTGAACCCTACCTCTTTTAAGTGCAAAATGCATGACAGTCCTTAGCACTGGTTTTGTATTGTAGTGATATTAAGCAAGTAAATTTTCCTTCAAATCATTTCCCAGCTGTATAATGCTTCCATTGTCTGTCTTTCCTATTATCATGCACTTTGTTACTACTGCAAAAGCAGATCAGTCAGGACTCTGTGCTGCACCCTAATGTTTGTACACCACAGGACTCCAATTAATGTCTGCTCCCCATTCATTATTCCCAAGAAAGAGTCTGTTGCCATGAGAATATTACTTAGTGCTTCAGCTAAGAGTTGATGACTTGCCCATTACAGTTAAGGAGAATCTTAAAGACAGCCTGTACCTTGCGTTTTGTAACTTGACCTCTGGTCTTCATATCGGGTGAAGCCGACTTTGTTGTCAAATCAGTGCAAAGTTCTTGCCTGATAAAGCACATAAAAAACTACTGGCTTGTTTTGTCATTATCTTACGTAGGATCTAAAATACTTGTTAAGCTCCTGCAGCCTTGCTTATGGCATTTTGAGATCAAATAATATGTGGGGTTAGCGGGAAGGGTTACTTGGACTGAGATGCACAGACTTAATTCAGCTGCTATTTTAAACTCATTTATTCTTTCCCTTTATATTTCTGTTGTAAATTCCAATAATGGAAAGTGTCATTGTAAGCTAGTCACCTGAAATTGCATGTTCAGGATCTGGGGTCATTGTGTCTAAATGTAATTAGGTCCATGATTCCTCCTGATCAGAATGTGCTGACCTGGACTGGTTGGGTCACTATTTCCCTGTTGCACTGTAGTTCTGGCTTTCTTCCAGTGATGAACAGCCGTATTAGGTAGGAAAAAGCTGTCATAGCATGTTGAGTTTACATAGGAAGCTCCTATTTTAAATGTCACCACGGGAGGAGGGGGCGGAATGCACAAATGTAAGATTTATGTTGTACATATTCTTTTGTAGACCACCATGCCAGGAATGAAGAGAGATTGTGGTGGAGCAGCCGCTATACTTGGGGCTTTTAAGGCTGCTGTGAAACAAGTGAGTGCTCCATAACTTAATATTTTTCCTGTATTTGTGTTGCGTAGGAAGAAATATTGATTCAGAAACTTATAATGTTCTGACAACTGTGCCTGTCGACATTCTCTTTGAGCTTTACAGGGCTCAGGTCTGCCATGCTGTGCTAATGTGAAGGAGTTGGTCTTTGTTCCACAGAAGGGACAACTGATCTTCTAGGCAGTATCCCTTATCACTGAACACAGTAGCTCAGTGGCCTGTATTCTGTAGCAGAGAACTAGTCTTCCATTTACTGTACACCTGCGTTATCAGCGCAAATCTATTTCATGTTATGCTGCTGCAGCCTGAAACCAGATTTGATCCTCACTCTGACACTGAAAGAAAGTGAAATTAAATTCTGGGCTGAGAGAGAAAGGGAGAACCTCAATGTGCTGCAGTCCAGTATTGATTTGGACCATTGCACCCAATTTAACTTAATACAAACTGTGATGGATATGAAAAGACCTCTGGTTAATTCTACAGCCATTCTACACAATACCTTATAGGCACTCCACCTAACGTGAAAATCATGTGATCTGTCGCCAGCAAACCTGATTAAAGAACGTCCAGGCAGAATTGGGGAAAGTATTGAGGA